TTTAAAGAAAGGAGAAGTCTGCAGGTGTAGGTTGCTTAACAACCTCTTCCAACCCTTTTAAATAACTTGTTCTTCATTATCCCTTCTTCTGAAGGACAGGTGGCCCTTGTAATTTGGGTGGGTTCTTAACTTCAACCCTAACCCTAACCATTTCAGATAATAACATTGTGGATAAGAAGACCTTGCAAAAATGTACTTTATACATATGCAAAGATTTGTCTGCAATTTTTTATATTCATAAAATTTAAAAAAAAGACAACATTTCAAAAGTCCTCTTCCAAACAAAACCACATGCCCCAAACTATAGATACGTGAAACTCTTTACTATGGATTACAAGGTCTAATCTCTGTTTACCAACTGTGGATATGTGAAACTGCAACTAATGGAATGGGAATAATTAAGGCTATTAAGAAATCCTGCCTCTTTTGTGCCTATTTCCTCACATTTACAAAGAACTCATATTTTAGTGCTAGGTAAGTAATTCTGTTGTAAACTAGCTGGATTTTCAGCAAAGAGAATAGCTGATTTCCCATATCTCAGTCTGCATTCTGCATCAGAGGAATCCAAGAGGAAAAAATATTAGAGTTCCTAATGCTATTTTATGTGTCTTTCACAGCAAAATAGCTAAAAAACGACAGTTTAAGTAGTTGGAAGAAGCAATTATATTCAAGCTAATAAAGAGACAGGAGCCTAAGTAAGAAGGAAAAAAAAAAAACAGGTTAAGAAAACACAGTTATAATGTCCAAATAGCATGCTATGCCTAAACAAATAAGCTATTTTATGACTTAACATGATGGCCTGGTTTACACAACCTGATAAAATTGTGGGTAGAATAGAAGCTCCATTTTAGTTTAGTCTAGAGAATTGCATGAACCCAGTCAGCAGATTCCAAAGATGCAATCACTTAATCCTATAGACTCTAGTAATTGAGCTGTGATTATGTTTTCTTTTAAAATAAAATGAAAAATGAAAAAAAAAATCTGATCCCTTAGGGACCTTAGTTGAAAAACTAGAATGTGTATCTGCTTATGCATAAATATGTCTATGTATCTCCTCTACCAGGTCATGTATCTGGCTAGGTTTATAGAACATATCCATATGCATGATTACATTAAGTGCAATACTTTCAGAGAAATGAAATAAGGATGCAGAAATTTATCAGAATAAAATAAAATAAAATAAAATATCCTGGGCCTAAATTAATTAAAACATTGGAGATAGTTGCCTCTGGCTTCATCCATTGTTGGTTCTGGATCTGAGTTGATTTTCCACAGATTAGCACCCTATCCCTTAGCATCTAAGTGCTATGAGTTCATGCATATACAGTAGGTAGTAGCCCAGCCCTGAGTGATATAAGAGTCAGTGAGGAGATGAATTCAAAGAGGATCAGAACTATTGGATCGCTTCCAATCCTTGTGTCAAAGGAATCTGACAGGTGCTGATTGTTCTGTGGTGACAAGAGAAGTTGCATCTGCCTGCCAGCACTCTTCACAACCTTTAATGATCCAGGAATCTTCCCCTCCTTCTTCCTGATTATTCTATGCCTCTTATGCTCAGAGAGCAATAGACTGCCTGGGATATGCAACCCAGGACTTGTGAATGGTATAGAGAGGGTAGGATATAATAGTGACTTGAGGACAATCATGGAAAGCAACCAAGAGCTATGCTCCAAAGCTGAACTAGGTGCCGCTGCAAACTTCTCTGCATGTTTCCTCCATATTAGACCATTGGTCCAACTAATCAAAGGGTGTTGAGGCTGACTAGTAGCATTCTGAGCTTCAGGCAGATGTTTTTCCAGCCAACCTTTAAGAACCTAGGGCCTTCTACATGCAAAACAGCTGCTCTATTTTGGGATTATGGCCCTACTAAGTGTCTTTAAGTGGAATTTCATCTTTAATCTGATTGATCTTATTGGGATGGGATATGCCATATTCCAAGCCAGGCTCTTCCTGCCTGCCCACCCCAATCTGGGCAGTTTACAAGCATAACATACCCTAAACTCCAACAACATGTATTTTAAAACCCCAACCCACCAATCAGATCCCCACTGAAAGTGGCCATCTGAAGTCACCACCAGGATTCAAAAGCCCATCTAACAAAATTACTTTCACCATCCTACAGAAAGCCAATAGTAAGCGGGGGGGGGGGGGTAGGCTCCCTTCTGGGGGAAAAGCATTAGCATTTTTAAACTTTGTAGGAAAATAGTACAACATGTGGATATGTGGTTTATTCTGAGTGATGTAATTGCAGCGATCCATTGTCTCTCCATGCAGGCACCAGTGGGAAAAGCACTGTGAAGACCAAGAGCTGAGCAAGTGGGTAAAGGGGTGTAAGGTTTGAAAAGGTAGCTGGCTGCAGTCTGTTTGATCTCTCGTGTATCAAAGGTAACATTAAAAAAAAAAATTTCTTTGTTCTTTCATTGGTTCATTCAGTTTCCACTTCCTGAAGGAAAATGCTGATAACACATTCCTTTGCTTTGTCCTCATGCCGACTGCACCACCGACTCGGGCAGCAGATTCAACAGCGAAGCTCCTTTTGTGTAGTGGAAAGAGGCCTCACAAAGAGCCATATGCAACGTCCTTGGTACTAAGAATATTTGGGGGGTTCAAGATTTTAATTGAATTTTTTAAATGATTGAATGTGTTAAAGAAGGGATGAGTGTGAAGCTTACACCTTGTAACTGAAGGAGATGTAGGAGGCAGAAGAAAGCCACATTTTGGGCTACCCATTGCACTATAATTGGAGGCCACAGTTGCTACCATGTTGGTTTGCTTTAGTCCAAAGTCAGTCTGGCGACATGAGCAGATTTGAAATGTTTGTTCTTGGGATTTTGAGTTGATTTAAATCAGTGTTCCTCAAACTCAGCAACTTGAAGCTGTGTGGACTTCAACTCCCAGAATTCCCCAGCCAGCATGCTGGTTAGGGTATTCTGGGAGTTGAAGTCCACACATGTTAAAGTTGCTGAGGTTGAGAAACACTGATCTAGGGCAATGTCTAGTTGCTAATGTTAATTATATCATCTGTTAATTTTGTTAAGATGGAAAAACACTGGTTTAAAAGAAAAAAAATCCTTTTCTGATCACAAATTCCTTCAAGGAAGCTATTGCTCACTATTTCTATGACCCCTTTGCTTTTGCTCATCCTTTAGGCCATATCGGATCTTATCAGGCAGCCCAGTGGAGCAGAATCTTAACAGGAAGCCCTCCAGCTTTTTTTTTTTCCGACTTTTATAAATGGTATCCGTTTTTCCCTAGAAGCATTGCACAAGGGAATCCGATAATATGCAGCTCTGAATTACTTTGAAGAACCTGATAGTACGCAGCTTTGAATTACGGCATACAGAAGCTGTAATTTTTTGTGAGAGAAAACAGGAGGGTGGATTGAAGCAGGCAACAGGTATTCTGTGAGTCAGGCATTTTTCACTTTCACGGGCTGAAACAACCCAAGAGAAAAGTAATGGGATGTTACACACAACATGGGTGTGAGCTTATATCCAGGTCCCCCATCCCCAGTTGCCTAGCCTGCTAATAGTTTATGAAGATGTTTACATCAGGTGGAAACAGTGCAGTCCAGAAACCAATTTTTCGCCTCCGTGAGCCCTAATTCTTTAACAGTTGCTTATCTGGGCACTTAGAAGATGGGCACCTCAGTAAAGATGTTTACTTAGTTTACTAAGTAAGTTATTTACTGCTTGAGATGAAAGACCCAACAGCACCCCTCTGCTTATTTCAGAAGCTTAACCCAATTGTTAACTGAATTTTCCCTCAGTCCTGGCAATAGGACCACATTGCCCAACTAGGACTATCCCATCTGGGTGGAATAATCCAGATGGCCATTAGGTGGCAACAAAATCCCAACCTGGTAGCCCTAAGTGGCACACTGGAAGACAGTGAGCTAGCTTTCAGTTGGGAGGAGGGCAGGCACTATGGTACATGGAGCTCTGCCCTCAGTTGCCTCGCTGCCATTGCCTCCTTCCCAGCACCTCCTGCCTAAGGAAACCTCTGTGCTCTGCTAATATAAGGGTCAGTCCTTTATTGCTTTAATAATTCAGCCAGAGTATACTCCTGGAGAATATTTTGTGGGTCCAAGATTTTAACTGCATTTTTTAAATGACTGAATGTGTTAAAGAGGGGATGAAACTCAACGTAGGCTTCCTTTCCTTGCTGCTTATTGGCAAGCACGGCGCAGCTGATGTCCACATGCTTTTACACCAAAGGAGGCTGGTTCAGGGGAAAACAAAGCAACCTGTTCCAGTGTTTTGACATTAACTATACCAGGCCAGTTCCAAGAATGTGATGTCAGGTACCAAGAAATATTCCTCATAAGGTAGAGCAATGTGGCAGGCAAAAAAGCTGTCATTTGAGTGGGTTGAGAGCAACATTTGGGAAGGGGGTGACAAGGGAAAAACACGGATAAGCAAAAAGCCCATGGAAAGGATGAAGTCTCCTCCTGTCATCAAACCTAACAAAATGATAGACAATGCTGCTGAAATATACAGAGAATGCAACATGGGTGTGTTTGTGCAGCAGGCTTGATTAAGTTGTTCAGATACCGAATAGTTTCATTTCCATTTCATTTCCATGAGCAGGAGGGAGGAGGGAAAAGGGCAATGAAAAAATGTGCATTGCGACATTACTATGCAAATCATGAGGCTTATGTACTTGCATTCAACACGAAGGTGCAAGTCCGTAAGTTCGAAGATGGGATGCGCAGTTAGTAGCAACCTTGGCTCATGGGGGTGGAGTGGTGCACGTTCAGCTCATTTGATTAATTTCTGATCCAATGGATTGTGCCAACTCATGAAACTGGGTAAGCACAACAGGTTCATCAGGGATCCGTCTTTCAACGTGGAAGCTGCACCGGTTCAAGGCAGCATTCCTTTATAGGAAGCAGCTACTAATAAAGCCCCATTCAGATAACAAGAAACTGCCCAACTTCCTTCCATGCCCATGTTCATCCAATAATAATAATAATAATAATAATAATAATCAGACAACAGTAAGGAGTGAACGTAGCTTTACTGAGGGTGAAACAAAAGCAGGGAGCAGGTCATACGCTGCAGAGAGCTTTGAGGGGGAAGAGAAGTGGAAGAAGGAAGGTGTTGAGCTGAAAGCATTTCCTTCTACATGCACTCTTCCAGGGTCCGTTCAGTCTTGGCCCCAGAAGAGGGGTGACTCACAGAGCACTGAATAGGGATGCCAGAGCGGGAGGTATTCAGGACGCTGGTGGTGGTGTAGGTGCCATCATCATTCAGGGTCACTTGTCCAGGGATCACTCCCTCAGTTATATCTTTCCCAGATGCACTCCACTTGATCTCTACTATGCCTGGGTAGAATTTCTCAACTATACATAAGGCGTGGATATCAGGAGATTCTGATATCTGGGAAAGATCAGACAATAGGGTGACTGATGATGGTGCTTTCGCTGATTTTCCTGGGGAAAACAAGAATGATTGAGTCTTGCCAAACAGCCATTATATTGTTGATTAAGAAGCATACTCTCACAATTTAGTGTTCAGACCTGGTTTTGAAGGACCAGCCAAAAAGTTTGCCGGACTGGCTGATTAGTTGCAACAGCAGTCATAATGTAAATGTGATCTGTAAAGGTGTGAGTTGAGTAATGTGAAGTCTGGTATTTAGAGATAGCAATTGATCTTTAGATCCTGCCCAAGTGAACCTGGGCCTTTTCTTTCCATTTCTTCTATAGCTGTTCCTTGCTATTTATTAGCCCTCTTCTCACAACTTGCTTCTGGATCAAGGAGAGGTTAATGTATTGTGAGAACACAAAAAAAAGGATGTTTAACCCCAGACAGATCCAGTCAGTTGTATGGTGGAAACATCACAACTCTGTCAATTGACCTATTTGCTTACCTGATCTTCCGTTAAAAAGAGAGTCTGAAAAAGTACTGTAAGCCTTTCTACTACAGAGCTCACTGCTAAAGCTTAGCGACACCGAATATGCATCTTAGACACCAGTTAGCTGCAATGGTCAAGCTAAGCCTATTGCTCTCTTCCTGGCCACTTGAAACGGGACTGGTGATGCCATGTAGCCTTGCCAGTACCCTTTTGGTGCAAGGGCTTGTGGGATATCAGTTTCTGGAAAACCTGGAAGGACATTCTATTCTAGGTCTATCAGATCTGGCTGCAAAAATCCAGGTCTCATAGCTCTACTATGTTTTCCATTTTTTTTTTTTTCACTCAGTTAATAGGACAGGACTGAGTGCTATCAAACTCATTGGTAAGGAGATTTAACTAGGTTAATAGCTGACTGGGATTTATGTGTTGTGGCAACAGAATCATTGTGCACGTACAGCCTAATCCAATACTGTACAGCCCAGTGACTACTACCTGGCAACAAGCAGTATCAAAATGGACTTTGCTGCTATCTAAGGGTCCCCTGTAAATAAAGCTTTCCCCAGGCTGGCAGCCTCCAGTCACTTGGTTCCCAGGAGGCTTAGCCAAAGGCGGTTGTTCTCTCTAGACACCCTTTTTTCTATTCCCTAAAGCCGCAGGATAGCCCGGGTTTCCAAAACATTCTAGATGCAGCTATGCAGACTGTCCTCACCCACTACAGATGCAAAATACTCAATTCTTTTGCTTCGGCATTGAGACGGCTTCAGGGTATTCAGCTCAGAGGTTGGTGGGGAGGGTGGTTTCTCACCACTTTTTTTCCTGTTCCTAGCAGGGTTTATTCCCTCCCTCCCTCCCTCCCTCTTTCCTTGTAAAGACAGAAAGAAAGAAAGTGCCTTTGGTAATCTAATTTACTTTACTGTTATGCAATATTCCTGCTCACCTCCTTTGATGCTGAGCTGTGTTCCACTCCCTGAGACAGCTGTCTGGAAATAATTTGCCTCTGCTAAACAGAAATAGGTGGCACTTTCATCTGTTTGCACCTTCTGGATCTGCAAGATGTAGGCATTGGCCTGGGTATCCTGGATGGGCACAAAACGTGCATCAAATGAAGAGGATCGTTCTATCTGCCCATTGTTGTTATGCTTCAGGATGAAGGCTGGGCTTTTGCTGGGCTTTTGTTGGAACCAGAAGGCGTGGTAGTCCTGGATCCTGCCACTTTGCAGAGGGCACTGCAGGACAGCAGTAGACCCCTCAGCATATAAGGCCTGAGGAGGCTGGACAGGCACGGGTTGCAAGGCTCCACCTGAAGAAGGAAGGAGAGTATCAGAGATTTACCCTGCTGTTAGAGCTGAAGGTTGGAAAGACCAAGATTCGTTCTTCTTTTGCAAGATTCTGCTCAGCCCTGCTTGACGAGATCAGTAGGGAGGATCCTGTTCCACGTTCCAGAGAAGGAAAATTGGTTGTGCCCATAAGCAAAGCATTTTCATTCGGTTTGGGCAACACACTTAACCAAATTAGTTCAAGAAGGAGCAGTTCCATTTTGAAGAACATCTTAAGCTTGGTTTGTTTTAACTTTGGCTACTTAGTTGTCCAAATCCTGATCATTGGATTAGCTCAATGTTTAATATACTCTGCAACACCATTGACACTCCCTCCTCCCCCCCCCGCAACAGGTGAATTCATAACCATATTAAGTATACGCTGCAACTGCAGCTTTTCCATCATGGCCCAAAAACTCTGGAAGAACATTTTTAAAGGCCTGTCAGTCTACAAAATCGAGTGAAGCTCATATTTTTGAAAGGGACTTTCAAGATTCACAGGTATGATGCCTTATTCTATGGCTGTTCTAAATGTATTACATGCCCTTTTGATTGGTAGTAATGTGAGGCTGTGCCTTTGGGAAAAAAACAATCTGTTTTTCTCCTTCGCAAACTGTGTTAGGATGGCCAAAAGAAAGAGAAATGCATTGCAATAAAATGATTAATACAATCTTCCATTGTAAACCTGCAGGAAATGTTGTTGTTTAGAATGTAAACAATGATAGTCATGCTCTAAAAGACTTCACAGAAGCATAGGATAGTTGGCTGGATTGCATACTAAACTTATGTGTGCCTATTTAAACAGAGGTTTCAGTGAGAATCTGCCCAAGCATAGTTATGTTTGGATGTTCCAGAGAGGTAACAAAACAGTAATTTTGTGGGTGTACCACAAAAAGTAACATCATATCACTGTCAGCTTTTATCCAGTCACCGATAATACATTTAAACAGGTCATAACTTTAACAAGCCACAGTCCCACTTCAGTATTTGTGTATCCAAACTACTCTATGATAATGGAACTAAGAATATATCTGCTAAGAAAATTTCCATGCAGCTAGTTCATTATTGGCTAAAGAATGACAGATCCTAGCTTGGCGGCAGTATCTAGCCAACCTTAGTTGAATCAAAATACTCTATAAGAATAGGAATAAATTAGCAGTTAGATGAGAGACAACGAGAAAACCCAGAGCTGTAAGCTAGAATGAGAAATTAGACAGCCTCCTAGAAATAGTAACCCACTGCCATTTTGTGAAAAAAAAAAAAGCTTGTATAGGTTTGTTCATAAGTCACTAGAAGTCAAGTGCAACTTGAAGGAGACTTTACTTAATGAATGAAAAGGTGGAAGTAAGGAAGAACAATGTTTTTTGTTCTAGTTTGGTTTATTTAAAAAAAAAACACAACTCAGTGAGAAGGATAACAATTTACAGCACATCTCAAAGCTGACATTTGGATCTGTAACAAAGGAGTAGAGGGCTTGGGATCCTTAGCCTTATCTACCATATGCACCACTGCACTAGCTTTGTGAATATTTCAAAGTGGAGATGTCTTGATTTTAGAAAGAGCCATGGTATCTTGGAGGCCACCAGAAAGGAGAGAGAAGGAATCCATTGTTGACTTTCCTTCTTTTCAGTTTGAAGAGGAAAGTTGGAGATCTTCCTCTAACTTCAGAGAAGAGAATCTGCCATATTCTGTGACTCCTGAGGTGCTGTCCCACAGACCATCAGATGGCACTGAGCATTATTTATTTATGGGACCAGTATGAAATAATTGTTTCTATCTAGTTGTCATTGACACTCCTGCCTATTCCATGCTCATGAAAAAAATGGAAATACTGTGTCTGTCCATAAATAGAAAGATATATTTGTTTTATCCTTCAGTTTCCTGGATGGGCATCAACATTTACATTCCCTCATATTTCTGCTGTGTTCATTAACTGTATTCCCATGAAAGACTAGAGATGTCTAGATTTTGCTAGCCCATCATGCTTGTTCTCTGTCCTAGCCCAAGTCCAAAATTTGCCCTTTCTCATTGCAAGTCATGTATACTCACCCTGGATGGAGAGAGCCAGTGAGAGGCAAAGCAAGATCTTAGAGGTCATCCTTCTTTGCTTAGGAAGGGGCTCTGGAGCAAAGCTGATTTTCACCATAGAGAACCCACATCACACACACGATGTTTTATGGGTCTCAAACTCATTTGCAAGTATTTGCTTACAAGCCAGCTTCTTTCCTGACTTTCAGGCAATATGGCCTGAAGTGATGAGCTTGAGGCAACAGAGCATAAAGTTGATTATAACGCTACTGGGGGACTTCCGTGGGGGATTTCTTCAACATTTTTTATGAATGTATGCATGTTCTGTTTCTTCCCAAACAGTGTGGCTCCACTGAATTGGGATAACCTGACACGATCCTAACAATTTGTTTTATTCTATTAAAAAAATTCTGCAATTCTTTGCATCCAAAGCAGAAAAAGCACAACCATACGTAAATGAGTCCTTAATCTAAAGCAGATTTACAAACTACAAAAGTAAAAAATTGTTGCTGCTCCTAATTGTCAGATTCTCCATGATTAAAAAAAAAGTCTCAAAAATTTTGTTAGTGTATTATTCTACCTAGTCAATTAAACCCCATGCATTCTTATGATCTTCTGAGAGTGATCTAGCTGGTCTCTACTGAAAATGTTGAATTAGCCTTCCCAATCTGGTGTCCTCCAGTACTTATCTTGTTATGTAGAAATCTGGATAACTACATATAACTATTTTTCCCCGTATGGCTTATATTCTAAATACTGAATGTTCTGATGGTTTTTTTTAAAGTCCCATCTGATTTAAAAGTACTCCAAGTTTGATTTCTAGCCCACATTAAAATTTGGGAGGTTCTATAACTCTAATCAGCAAGTAATTTTAAAAGAGGATACATTTTATTGTTGAGACTTCTATCTCAGATCAGTCTAACAACGCTGAGCAGAGTCTAACCAATAAATAAAAATATTCTACAAATACATAAAAAATCAGTAAGTAATAAAATATGCCTAAATATTTGTTAAATTCCTTTTCTACACAGCACCCTTCTCACTGTTCAAAATGTTTCGGGGAACAGAGCCAACCTCACTTCCAGGGACAAGCTTTCCAAAGGAAGGGAGCCCTAACAGAGGCTTCCTACTTCCAGGGCCCTTCCTCCTATGCAGGAGCATTCATAGTGGGGTAACATACATTTTTCGGGCTTGCAAAATCGTTGTTGTTTTCATTATGACCACCAACTAGATTCAAGTCCTAAAATGTATACTTTAGTGCCTTGTTGCTGCTAGAATTTTAAGAATTGCATCATTTGTTGGTAACGGTTGAACATTACAACTGTCTTAAGTTTTTAATCTAATGAACATTTGATTTCAATAAAGTTTGTAAAGATCTATTCTTTATAATAGAATATATGTGGAAGATCTAAATAATTTTGTAAATGGATAGCTATTAAGGACATGCTATATTTGTGCTTTAGTACACTTTGAAACTACTAAGAAGATGACTATGCATTACTGAAAAAGATCTTCCATTGAAACCATTTATTATTCTGATCAATGAGCTCGAGAAGTTTTCACAGTGTCTATTAAATTACATACCATCGAGCAAGGCAATGTTTATCTTCTTTTATTTTTCCCTGCAGACTGCGAGATTGCCTTCCCCCCCGGTTCCTTTGTTTCAGTGGCCTATAATTTCGGATAGCGGGGAAACCATTTTGTTGTGGCTGTTGTAGAAGCTGGAGTCAGAAATCCTTGTATATTATTCAGAGACCTTTCAGTAAATCTTCAATATATTTTCTGTCTATCCACCTTCTGAACCATTTGTCTCCATTTTAGCTTTTATGCAGGAGTGGTAACAGAGGAGCATAAGAATGAGACTTTGGAAGTGCTTGCAATGAACAACTGAGATGCTGAGCAGAAAGAACCTGGTGGCTTTTCCTGTGTGGTCACCCTGCATTATTCACAGCTACCTTACTTTTCCTAATGGTTGGCCAATCCATGCCTATATTGTGGATTAGGGGTTACTCCTCTTCCTGACTCTAGTCCCAAAACCATCAGAGAGTTGTGGAGACAAGCAAATTGTCTCCTTCATCCTCTGAGCCTAAGGTAAGCCCTTGTGGTGGGCACAGATCACTTGAGAGGGAGAATAAACTCATTCTACAGTCATAAACCCATCCTGGGAGCTTGGAAACAAGAGGTTTGCTTTCACGGTCTCAGAGCAAAGGAATATGATACTGGTCTCCTTAAGTTATCTTTGCTATTGTGCTTCACGTGTGGTTGGAAAAGTCCTGAATATGTGAATTACCACCTTTGGTCTGATCTAAAGGCAGACATTTCTAGTCTTGTTTGTTGGAGAATCATTATGTGTTATAACCAAAATTTGTTTTAAGTTGAAATATCTTAGGTTAAAGCATATTATCCTCTGGTTTCCAGGAGCATTATTATCCTGGCTAGAGGTGTTGATTTTAAATTGATGAATGAGAAATCACCGTGTCTTTGGAAATACCAGATGAACTTAAACGTTTTTATTGATAAGATTACTTTAGACTGTTAAGATGCTGCTCAACTCTTGAATTATATTTGATCCATGTGAATTGATCAAAGACTGCTTTGTCAGCAGAGGATTTATTGTGCAAGATGTGTATGTTTATCAGTTCTCTTGAACTGATAATTTTCTACAAGGTTATATGTGTATCATTTGTATCTTGAAAGTTGATTTTTGTGATTTTCATGGGACAAGAAAGAAGTGGGCAGCTATCATTCTCATAATTGAGAGGACCAGCCAGTCAAATAATGTTTCATCAAAAGGGGATTTTCACTAGATACTTTTATAGATAGGAAAATAATTCATGCATAATGAGGCTAAAAAAATGGCAGAGACTTTTGGTGAGACAAAGCTTTAAAAAGTACTGTATCTATTGATGAGCTGATTGAAAAAGTCTCATCTAACATACTGTATAATTATATTTATTTGAAATCGTACTGCCAATATCATAGAGAAGATAGCATTTAGCAAAATTCTATACAGCATATGTCTGCCATGTTTGGCAACAGATGACTGTGATTTTTCTAAAGGTAAAACTGCATAGGAAGCATAAAGGAAGTAACATATGGAATGTGGGATCCATATATAAAACAGAAGGTAATACTTTATCCATCATATTGCAGAGTGGATTCTTATGTTTGAGTTGACTCTGAAACATTTTGGTTTCATGGTCCTGGCTTTAAAAATAGTAAAAAAAAATGCTACGATATGAACATGGGTCCTTTCAGAACGCCATGATGAATATGCCAACTCCAAAACTAGAGATGATGACAGGAATGTGAGCAATAGTTTATGAAATGGGGACCCAGAATCATTCATAGCAGGCATAGCAGAACTATGGTGGGATCTCTGAGGACCTAGGTGTCAATAGATACATGAGCATCTAACAACTGACACGTCAGCACCTGACTGGTGAAGCAATGAACAACCTGTACGGACAAAGAGGCCTAGTCTTGCAAGTTCAGCTGCCTTTCGGTTCCATTAGTCAAATGACTTGAAATCAATCTGGAATACATCTGAGTTAATTATAGGCCAGAGATGGATGATTCTTGCACACCTGGTCACTGTTTTTCTCAACTTGTTTTCTTAAAAATCTTAAAAATACTTAACCGCAAACCACTAGTGCGCTCCAGAGCGTGTCCGCAAGGCTTCCAAAAACAGTGTGGGAGTCAACAGAAATGTATGAAATAGTTTCCGATCATTAAATACGGGGCTGGGTCTCCAGCTACTCTAGCATCTTTTCCATTGGAGTGTATATGATAGGAACCCCAACTAGGGTTTCAGATCCGATTATGTCCCAAAGACTTCCCATATCTTGAAATCTGCCTCTGACTTCATGGATATGTCTCTCTAATCTGCTTCCCTGCATTACGTGTGCTCTTCACCTACCCCCCAACCCTCCATTCATCACTGCTTGCGAGGGAGGTGAATGGAAGAATATGAAACTAGAAGGACATAGAGAATATGAAAGAGAACCCAGAGCTACATTCACTTCAATTCAGCAGCATCTTTATAAATAAATCCATCAAAACTCTGTACATCGCAATCCTTTTCACTACTAAATCAGCTGCATTCCACTACGGATAGACTCCAATGCTTCATAAGATAACGTATAACGCTGATTTTTACATCATGCATCACCAGAGCTTAATTACCAGTAAGAGTAAGAGTAAAATAGGATCAGAATACTTGTTCACTTACTTTTTGATGGGAAGATTGTATCACTACCGATAACAATAGCTTTAACGCAATCATCTATTTAACCTGGTGCAATGAATTTCAAAACTTTTCATAGACAGCTCCAATGGTTTATTTAAACATTTTTTTAAAAAAGTGAAGTGACCAATGACCTAATGAATAAAACTGGGGAACACGGGGTTCAAATCTCACCTGAGTTTTATTTGGTATGGAAATTTTACACTAAAAAGATAATGCAAACTTACTGTTTCCCTTATGGAAGAAAAGTTCTCTAACAGAAATATACCGAATAACATTTATCCTGTGAAATAGAAGCTGTGTTTAAAAATGTAATGCCTAGTGCCATTTTTAGATTTAATGTATGAGGTGTATATTAATATACACACTAGTAAATTATGTGTTCACTTTTGCCTTATCAGGCCTGGATTAAAATATTAGCACTTTTTTAGTTGTTCTCCATCTTATTAGGCCATTTATTTAACCCGCTTATTTTGCTATCCCACTCTCACGTCTAAATAAGGCAAATCAAACATTTTTCACTTGTAATCCCAGCTCTCAGTGAGGGATTGTCATTTAACTCTACCCGTGGGTCTTACAGAAAGTTGCAGAACGGATTATTTTTTCACTGTAAGTTTACTTGCTGCCCATTGAAAAAAGGAAACAACAATCCAAATCATTTTTTTTTTAAATTCATAGTGCTCATGGCCAGTAGCTACTGGGTGACTTGTTAGCTAGGTATTCACTATGAGATTCAGTTTAGAAATGACTGAAAAAAAGGATGCCTTTGTGGGAAGTTGCTGCTTCCTAAGAAACAAGGTAAGACAAACCTAAGTACAGTAATGTGAGAATAATACTGTGCTGCTTTATTGCTAATTCCCTAGTGTAATTTTAAGTCAAGAAGACCGGATGAAAAC